GAGACAGCCGAGTGGTGACACCCCCAGCGAGCGGATTCACAGAGTGTAGCGACGACGCAGCGGATCTGTATCGGGCTGGTGGCCCTCGTGCGAGCGGTGGAGAGACGGTGAGCGAGGCCGAAGGAACAGGTCGCGCGCGCGGTGGCGCTACTGACGGACCGCCGGCAGCGGTGAGCGGAGCTGGTGGGACCGGCGGCGCGCGCGGTAGCAAGCCTAACGCTTCGCCGGGAGTGGTGAGCGGCGCCGGTGGGACAGGACATGGCGCGCGCGGCGGCGATTGTAAAGGACCGCCGGCAGAGGTGCGGCGGCGGTTGTCCGTGCGTCACTCTCAGCCACCGAGGAGGTGGATAACTGAGATGTGATCGGGTGGGAAAATACGTGATTTTACGGAGATGTGATCGGGCGGAAGGATCGAGCGGAAGAATATGTGATTCCGTGTGTCAATAGGTGCCACCGATAAGGTGGATAACAGATGTGATTGGCCAGGGAAAGTGTGGGTCAATTTGTACCGCCGAGAAGGGTGATGACTGATTAGTTGTTATCGTTTGGAAGTACAGACTGATAAGCAGTGTAAGGGCAGACGTGCGCGACTCTAAAGTCAGTGAATTTGTAGTTATGTTCGTATCGTACGGATGTGAGCGATGTCAGTGATCGCACTAAAATAGGCGGCAGTGTTGACGCTGTAAGTGACCGGACTGGATTTGACTAGTTTGTGGTGGCTCGCAGGTTGAGTAAGTTATGTTTGATAGTTCGATGTTCGAACTCAAATCCAGGGGGGCAGGGTGTTGTATCGTGAGCCTGGCTACGCGTAGTTCAGTTAGCGACCGCCAGGTGGAAACCGGTCGCTGGTTGTGCGGCAGTCGGCTGCCGGCCCGCGCAGGGCGTGGATGTGTCCTGGTTGGCTGTGCGCCAAGTTAGGGCCTGTGCGCCAAGTGGGCGCGCAATCGCAGACGCGGAATAAAGAACTCACATTATATCAGGGCGCCTCATTACAAGAAGAAAAGGAGTATATTCTGCACAAGAGGGGCGCCCCTGAGGCAGCGGAAGGGCAACCCCAGCAGAGGGGCAAAGGAGAGTGGTGCCCCGCTCCGAGCAGAAGAGGGGCGCCCAAGCAAAAAGAGGAGCCCCATAAGAAGAAAAGGGATGCCTCTGGCAGGAGAGAGACGTCCCCCGCAGTGGAAGGGCGCCCCCCCGAAGAGGCGTCTCTAGCAAAAGATAAGTGCCCCTGCAGGAGAGGGGCACCCCAGCAAAAGTTGGGCAGAAATGGGGCACCCCCAGCAGAATTTGGGGTCGCCGAACAGGAAAGGGCCGCCCCATTCACAGTAGAAAAGGGGACTCCCCAGCAGCAAAGGCGTGCCCTAACAGAAAAGGTGCACTCCCAGTAGAAGCGGGACGCATCAAGAAGAAGAGGGGCACTTCTAGCAAAAAAATGGGCGTCCCAGATAAGTGGGCCGCCTACAGCAAATTGGTCGTTCTTAGAAGAAATGAGGCGTCTTCAGCAAAGTGAGGCTCCCCATGACGGATGGGCGATCCAAGCAGAGGTTGGGCGCAAATATCTTTAAAACGGCGGCGCTGCGCGCAGCCGTCTTAAAGATATTTGCGAAAAACCTAGGGGGACGTGACAACGCACGGCGTGGGTTTTAAACTATCGATTTTGACGACGGTTTGGCGCCCCCGGATTGCCAGGTCGCCCCTATTTCAACTTGCCGCCCCCCTCCCGAAAATTCCTGGATCCGCCCCTGGTCGAAGCCCCTGAGACTGATGGCCTGAGAGGCCCTAGTGGATCTGAGGAGGCCCCAATATCCACACTGGTCTGGGAGGCCCCTCCATCCACACTAGTCAGAATAGGCCCCTGACACTGGCGGTCTAGCCGAGGCCCCCATACCCTCACTAGTCAGAGGAGGCCCCTCTATCCTCAATAGTCAGAAGAGGCCCCTGAGACTGATGGTCTGGGAGGCCTATCCATCTACACTGTAGTCAGAGGAGGCCCCTTAGACTGATGACCTGAGAGGCCCTTATAATCACACCAGGCAGAAGAGGCCCATGATACTGATGGACTGAGAGGCCCTTCTATTCATACTGGCCACAGGAGACCCCCAAAACTTTCGGTCTGGGAGGTCCCTCAATCCGGCACCAGTCAGAAGAGTCACCTGAGACTGATGGCCTGGGAAGCCCTTATATTCACACTAGGCAGAGGAGGCCCCTGAGACTGATGGTATGAGAGGCCCTCATATTCACACCAGTCAGAAGAGGCCCCCGAGGCTGATGGCTGTGAGGCCCTTCTGTTCATATAACTGGCCACTGGAGGCCCCTGAAACCGGTGGTCTGGGAGGGCCCTCTATCCACACTAGTCAGAAGAGACCCCTGAGACCGATGGTCTGAGAGGCTCTTATATGCATACTAGCCACAAGAGGCCCCTGAGACTGATAGTCAGAGAGGTTCACTCGTAATGAATCTGAGGGGGCCCTCTATCCACATTTACACTTTTCTAGGGAGGCCCCCGGGACTGATGGTCTGAGAGGCCTTTTTATTTATACTGTCCACAGGGGCCCCCTGAGATTAATGGTCTGAGATGCTCTTTTATTTATACTAACCAGAAGAGGCCCCTAGGATTGATGGTCTAACAGTCCCTTCTATTTATACTAGCCAGAGGAGGCCCATGAGACTGATGGTCTGAGAGGCCCTTCTATTCAAACTAGGCAGATGAGGCCCCTGAGAATGATAGTCCGAAGAGCCATGCGGCGGCAACTGGCCGTGGCCATATTTCGGCTCGGTAGGGCCCCACAGAGCTCATGAGAGCACCTCAAGGGCTCCTAAGTAGACACGCTTATCCCCATAAGGGTGCCACGCCGGCTTCTGAAGGCTCCTTGTAGGCATCTAAGGGCCCTTTCCGGCCTCTAACGGCTCCACCCGCCTGTGATGGCTCCACACCAGTGTTTATGAGCGCCACACAGCGGCGCCTTTGAGGGTCATACTAGTGTCTCTTAGGGCCCTATATCGGTGGCTCTGGGGGCCCCACACCGGCGCCTCTGTGGGCCACCACATTTGTGCATCTCAAGGCTCTATATGTACATCTGAAGGACCCACACCGACACCTCTAAGGGGCCCCACACCAGTATCTCGGAGCTCTGAAGGCCCCACACCGGTGACTCTGAGGACTCACCGGCTCCTGAGAGCACCATGTTGATGTCTAACGGCTCCACAAGGCCACTGAAGGCACCACACAAACTCTCACTGAGCTCTAATGTCCATGTACCGGCCTCTGAGGGATTTAAGCCAGCGCATTCATAGCTCCACACCAGCAATTGTAAGGGCTTCACACTGAAGTATCTAAGGGTTCCACACCGGTGTCTCTAAGGGCCACATACCGGGCACCGGCATCTCTGAGGGCCCCAGACCGGCGTCTCCGAGGGTCCACATCTGGCGGGCACCCATCAGCGACTGAAGGTCCCACACTGTCGACTCCGAGAGCCCCATCTGCGTCTGGGAGCACCATGCCGTCTCTAAGAACCACAGCGGCTCCTCTGTACGAAAGATGGGCGTCTGCATGCCAAAGGGGAGCGGTTCTGAGACAGTAGGGCACCTACGTGCAATAGAGGGGCGCCTATGAAGCCCATAGGGGCGCCTCAATGCGAAAGAGGGGCGCCTCTGAGGCCTACATATATGGGCGTCCACATGAGATAGAGGTTTGCAAATTGCAATTGATCAATGCCATGGGGGTGCATTCATAAGAAACAGGGGCGCCGGCATGGCAAAGAGAGGCGCCTTCAAGTGTCCATAAAAGAGAGACGCCTATGATAAGCGCACATTGTATGCAGCAACGGGGCGACTGTGGGACATATAGGGATGTCTCTGATGACTATAGGCATATAGGGCGCTTATATGCCAAAGAGGGCGCCTTTGAAGCTGTTCCCAAATGAGTTCCAAAATTATATCTCACTTCCAAAGTTATCTATTCGTTTTTCGAAAATCCATACACGTTTCACAAAATTCATTCAGTCTAGTCTCTTCTTTTTGTCACAGTTGCCCCCAAGCCCGTATTCGGAAAAATAATAGCTCGAGAGATAAGCACGAATAATACCGGTCCGAGATACCTCTGATTTGTTTCCCTCTTAACAGCTTAAAGGTAGTGTGCCACCTTTGAAAGATTTCCCGTTTTATTTTTCCTAGGATAAGAAGCTTCTGTTTTTACCTAATATCGCAAAAAAAAAAAATCAAAAATGGGCCTGGAATAGTGCCTTTTTCGCCTAAAAGTTTATCGGTTTTGAGATATGTATAACAACTGTAGTAGGCTCACCTGCAAACAGGCGTCGGGCAACAATCGCGAATGCGGCGCACTTGTGACAATAAGCAAAGGTCATTACAGTGTTACGACCATACGACGTACGGGAATGAGTTATCAGCTGTCTAATCGTAGACAACACAATGTCGAGCCTTAAACTGTAAGCCTGTATTGGTATTGTTTCTTAAATTTGGCTGTCGAACATTAATTTGTGGTTTGAAATATGATTTTATGTAAAATAATTGATATGAAACAGCCGTCTCTTAAGTTATGACCCCATTACACCACACGCAAGTGGCAGAAATGACAATGATGAGCTGACGCATTTTTCTTGGCCGAAGCCAGAGCGCGCGGCCCGACGCACCACGCGTATTTGGAAATTCCGACCACGACGAGCATCAGAAGCCACCTAACAGGCGTGTTCGAAACCGCAGGAGATGATGATGAACGGGTTTATCGAAACTTGATTGGATGAGCCTATCGGTAATAGCGATTTTAGTGTGTGCATTTATTGTTCATAGTGGTGTGAAATGTGGTTGGGGTACGACCGACAACCCGTCGGGGCGAATTTCGCACTGGGGTACTCAAAATTTGAAGAATTTAAGACGTTTCCATAAGTTTTGAAGGTATGGATAAGTTCTAAAAATCCGGTTCTCCTTATCCGGGTCATTAACTCCATATGGTCCAAGAAAGCTGGCACACTACCTTTAAGAACGTTTCAACCCTTGGCCACCACATGCACATTACACAACATTCTCCCCCGGGGTGGAGCTCAGCCCACCCTTCTTGGATCATCTTCAAGTTAGTCACGTTTCTTTTGCTACAGGATATTTTGTCGGTTCGGTTCAAACCTTTTCTGCCGCCTTTCCAACGGGCTTCTCTGTCTCACAGCTTCCTTGGGAGTTTCTATCCCAGGTTCCTTTACTGACTTCGCGGCCCTGGACTGGCATGGACGGTGTTTTAGTTTCTGCTGGCGCACTGTCAGGGGACGGAAAGTGTTGGGGGCCGGCTCCTTGGACGGTGTAGCTACCTGTTCTTCCTGCTGCTCCTCTAAGGCGACCTTGGGTACCACCTCCTCTGTCTCCTCCGTTTCAAGCGCAACCTCTGGCACTTCCTCCTGATGATCGTCCTCCACCGCGAATTCCACCTCATCAACTACCCCAACTTCTTCCGCTACTACTGCTCCCTTCGCTACTTCGACTTCCTCTACTACCTCGGCGTGTTCCACGGTCTTGGCCTCCTCTGCGACCTCGCGCGGCTCTTCGACTGCCGGTTCCGTCACGTCCACGCGCTCGTCAGCGTCCGCCAGCGGGGTCACCTCTTCAGCCTGCTGCTGGTCCGGCTCAGAAGCTGCCTGATCAGTTGTTGGTTCTTCGGCATCCTGCTCCTGCTGGCCGACTGGTGCGCCTTCTCTCTGTATGATGGCAGGTGGTGGTGAGTTGACGCTTTCGACCACGATAGTCTTCACGCGCGGCGCTGCTGCCGGTTGAGGGGCAGGGGTGTCCACGTGGGGGATGCCCTGTGACTGGACGTAGAAGAGCGCCAGAAGGACACCGACGCCGGCCAGCAGGACCAGAAGGACGAGCACGGTCAGACAGCTGCTGCCGCCCTCCGAGTGGTGCTCCTTCACCTCCTCATCACCGGTGCCGTCGTCACACACTGAGTCGTTCTTGAAGACCGCGGGGTGAGAAAGCGCATGCGCCCGACCAGAGGCAACTTCGCAGGTCTTCAGGAGAGAGAGAGAGAGAGAGAGAGAGAGAGAGAGAGAGAGAGAGAGAGAGAGAGAGAGAGAGAGAGAGAGAGAGAGAGAGAGAGAGAGAGAGAGAAGAGAGAGAGAGAGAGAGAGAGAGAGAGAGAGAGAGAGAGAGAGAGAGAGAGAGAGAGAGAGATGTGGACTCGTTCGAGGGAAGGTCCTTGACATCTGTATGCCACGGCCAGCGGTTTTGATAGTGGCCTTGTTTGGTAGGGACACGGGTGCAAGTCTCGTTGAACTGCTTCACAGCCGCTATCTCCAGCAATTCCTTCGAGTTAGCGTCGTCTGCACCCACACTGCTTATGCCAATTCCCTCCAGCGTCGTCTTCACCGACTCCGTGCGCACGAAGTTGGTCATCATCGGCTGCTGTGTCCAAGAAGCTCCGCTCAAGCGGCCGCACAAGATCCACCCCAGCTTCGAACTGATCGCCATTGGTCCACACCGACCCAGACGCATCTCACCGTCAAAGACATCCTGCAATAAATCCTGTCCGATAAGGATTTCTATTTCATCGCCTTCGACTGCTGCACCACTCGGTTCTTCGGCGAGTGTTAAGCCCCCGAGATGCTCGTGCTGCTGCACTTCGTCACGGCTGATGACAGGAGGCGGACTGCAGATTTTGGGGATTTTGTATGCCGTTACTTGGAGCAAAGATCCGTCCTGTATCTTAAGCCCCACCTGTACCTTTGCACTCGTTTGATCTACTGACTGGCCTCCTCCGAACGTGCTCACCCTAAGTGGTTCCACAGCAAGAACTCGACAACCCAGCGTCTGCGCGGTGTCGGAACGGATGAAGGTCGTGTTGCTCCCTGAGTCACACATGACGCGCACGCGGCGCGTGCCGTTCAGACCTGATGCCTCCACTCTGGCCGTCTGCATGAGGACCACATTGTGGTGCTCGCTGGCTTCGCAGCTTGCGGCTATCACCGTCACAGACTGGCGGGATGGCACGCTGTCATCTGATCTGCTGCCAGTTGCGGCTGTCCTCGCAGGCGACGGGTCACATAGCAGCGGGTGATGTCTGCCGCTACAGACCGAACAGCGCGGCTTACCCTGGCGGCAGTCCGCTGCCCGGTGGGAGGCCGGTTCCAGACACCAGAAACATCCACCCCGGCGCATCAGGCGCTCTCGTCTCTCGGCTGGTGTGAGGTCCCTCACCTTTCTGCACTCTTCGGACGGATGCATGGGTGAAACTTTGACATCACCATTGGGGTCCCAAACGTCCAAGGGGGCCTCCATTTAGTGGGGGCCTCCAAGCAATTAGGGGCCTCCAATTGCGGAAGCGGTAATTTACGAACCACGCCAGAGCCTCTTCTAAGAAATTTTCACTGGGGGACCAGAGGCTCAGAAGCCAAACCTAGGGTACAGTCTGTCTTGAAAGTACCGCAGCATGGGCTGCGGCGGCCCGGCGAACTAAAGGTCGGGAGCTCGGTGGTTTGAGAGTCCCAGAGCACGTGACGGCAGTGAGCCAGGAGAGAGTGACCGGGCAGGTCGCGTGGGGTGCCGCTCTCCCTTACTCTTTCCACCCCGCTGCGGCGCCTGTCGCCCGGGGGCACGGGCCGTCCGCGAGCACGAGTGGAGAACTTGACCGGCCCGGCCGATCCCCCGGTGGCCGGTTAACCCTTGGAACCGTTTTATTCTAGACGAAAAGACGACGAAGCCAATCTTAAGGCTGAACGCGACTACTTGCATTGTTATCAGAACATGATACATATTGAACACTATGAACAATACTTTACGATCATGGAACGGAACAGAATAAATGTAATAAAACTGAAATAACAATGTGAATAACAACACAGAACAATGTTAACGCAGTAATTTGTCGAAAATCTCAGATTAACTATGGGTTTAAATCTGATCGATTGATCCAGTAACTTAGGATAAAGTAATTTGTTTCGTATTTATTAATGCGAGATAAAAAGTAAAAAAAAAACTCCCATTCTCACCGCCCTTGTTGAGATTGAAACAAAATAGTACCTATTTAAGCGAAAGCCAATGGAAGTAAGATGGAATGGTAACCTTTTGCTCATAACTAAAGGAAGCCAAAGCAAATCATACACTTGTGTGTTTTTGTCTTCCTTTAGTTATGTGCCAAATATTACTATTCCATCTTAGAAGTAAAATCATTATCATGCAAAAAAAAACACACTTTAGAAGGCAAATGGCTGCTACATAAAAAAACATCACAAAATAACTAACACATTATACTCCTTATTTCCTTTACATAAAAGTTATAGGCAAATATTTTCATTTTACGATCGGCTGGCCAAGCAATTGTTCGCAGCGCCTATTTCTAGGTAGAGGATGGATAATCGTATACCAAACACGGGGTATGCAGATTTATGCCGAAAGGTCACTGAGATTATGGGTATTAACCCGCGAGTTGCTGGGGAGGGGCGTTAAACGCCCCGACTTTTTTCGCCGCGCTGTAGCTTAAAGGGACCCTCCCACCTTCAAAAAAGTTAATGAATTGGCACGAAAGTGATGTCGCTGGGTTCAGAAAGAACGAAAACGAATATCTACCAAATTTCATCGAAAAATATTCACCGGTTTTCAAGATATTAGACTTTTACTTTTGTTTACTTTTTGGGATCTCCGCTGTTCCTAGCGACTTTATTTGAAAGTGCGGCATTTGTTGCGCGCAAAGCAGCATATACCACCGCGTGCTACCAAACGTTTTAGTAAAAGATTTAAAAATCGTTAGATCTCCGCTGACGTCACAAATTCTAAGGGGGCATACCAATGCACTAGCCCCTTAGAATCCGAAAACTGCAAGTTTGAAATTCGATATCTCCGAATTAAAGCATTTGTCGATGTTGTGAGTGCCCAAACCGATATTTGCAGGCCATGGCCACCAATTTGGCTATCTCAACTCAAAACTAATGTTAACCCTCGCATGTGTGCGGCGTTTTCCAGCTTCTAATGTGTAGGGGGGGGGGTCGGTTGGACCCCCCCCCCTTGCCGTTTGGCCCCTGATCAAGCTAGAGCTTCGCGGAAAAAACGAGCATGTTGCCCGTGACGAGAGGAAGCCGATGATACCCAATTTTAAGGTCCTAGGTCATTGGTTGACCTTCCAGGTCAGGTCAATGACCCAAGGTCGGGAAAATCGGGACCTGTTAGAAAGTCGTAAAGTGTGGCTGCTAAGGGGTTTTTCGGGGTGCTGATCACGAATATCGTGTTAGTTTTGATCACAGATGATGTATTTAAGCATTTAGACCAGGTCGGGTCAGGTCAGGTCAGGTCAACCAGTAGGCGTCGTGACGGGTATTAGTATTACGTGTCAACCGCCTCTGACAGCTTCGTAACATGTTACGAAGTCACCAAAACTACTTCGTAAATGTTCAAATGGTTGCTAAATTCGAATTCAGCTCCAAAAACTAGCCTAGAAACATGTAAAACTCGAAAAAGTGAACCGAGGTCACCAAAGGTCAATGACCTGACCTGACCTTCAGGTGACCTTGACACCCACCCTAATGCATGGGAGCAGCATCAAATCACATGTTTGAACGTTTGAAACCACGAAAAGCTTGCAAACGCGCGGCTAATGCGAGCCGACATACGCGGAATCGCGATTCCGGCCAAACATGGTCTCGGAAAAGAGGTCACAGGTCAAAGGTCATTGGGGTCAGGGTCATGAAATTTTCAGGGTAGGTGTAAAATTGATCAATGCGAGGGTACGGAAAGTTTCGTCGCGATCGGCCGCTTTTTACGCGAGTTATTCGCGAAAAACCATGGGGGGGTCCATCCGACCCCCCCCCCCCTACACATGCGAGGGTTAAGGTGGGAGTGTCCCTTTAAAAACGGCGCGCCGCAGGCGCGCCAAAATTTAGGTACCTGTAGGAAATTGATTGAAGTTCATTGTGACAAAGTTGGAAAAAATCGGTCGGAATTTTTTTTAAGATATCGAGGTTTTAGTGACGTCATGATTTCTGAGTTTTCGACCAAAAACGGCATATGTTCAAAAAATCATATAAAATCAAAGGATAGACATAAAGACATGCCGTAAACGTCATTAGACTGTCAATGTTATGTACAATCAAATTGTTATCTTCGATTTTTAATTACCGTTCTACATTTTCCAAAATCTTGGACTGAATCTTGGCTATTTCTTGTGACACTTCACGACCATGATGCATGTATTTTTTAAATTGATATTTTTAAATCAAACACGTACTCGTGTGATAAAATAAATGTCACCATCGTGTTCTGCGCCCAAAATTACCCATAAAACATGTGTCATAGACTGCGAATACCCGTTTTGATTTTCGGGGGTATGTTCTTACCTGATTGACCTGACCTTGACCCTGACCTATGTTTGACCGACCCTACATGGATATGACACTCTTGTAGCACTTATATGAAGGATTGTGCACAGTTTTGACAAAGTCATTGACGAGAGGCGCCAATAACGAGGTTCTGAAGTTCATGCTACCGAAAGCCCGATTTCAGGTGTTTGACCTGACCTTGACCCGACCTGTGACCTCAAAATTCAACTTTCAAGCACTCATCTGAAGCGTCTCGTCGCGTTCTTTCGTTTACCACCTCGTGCGTTTCACTGCGCCCATTGGTTCTCGAATTATCGGCTGGGGGCGTTTAACGCCCCTCCCCAGCAAACGGCGGGTGGCGAAATACCCCAGCAACTGCCAGGTTAACAGGTAGCGGCATATTAATCTTCAGTTCCTGAGTGCTCACTGTTCACTGTTCAGTTCAAGATTCAAGATGAGAGTTGAGATCATACGAGGCTGTATGGTGTGTATTTTATTCGTTTAACGATCTATCAAAGCTCCTCTCTCTTCTCTCTCTCTCTCTCTCTCTCTCTCTCTCTCTCTCTCTCTCTCTCTCTCTCTCTCTCTCTCTCTCTCTCTCTCTCTCTCTCTCTCTCTCTCTCTCTCTCTCTCTCTCTCTCTCTCTCTCTCTCTCTCCCTCTCCCTCCCTCCCTCCCTCCCTCCCTCTCTTTCTTTCTTTCTCTCTCCCTCTCTCTCTCTCTCTCTCTCTCTCTCTCTCCCTCTCTCTCTCTCTCTCTATCTCTCTCTCTCTCCCTCTCCCTCCACAAGATGCTGAAAATTTTAGCGGACTCCAACAAATGTTGCAGAGTCTAAAATAGCTACCAAAAGCAGTCCGGAAGAGTTGCGTCAATTCCCGTACCGGCAAGTGATACGTTTATGCTTATGGCAGTGCACTGGTCCGGAGTCAGAGTCGGAGTCGGAGCCGATAAGCAGGCCGAAGTCAGATTTGGAGTTGCAGTCGGAACAGCGCCGTCGCGACTCAAAACCCCTTTTCTTTATATTTTCGGCTTCAAAGTAGCTGGTTAGATTTATTGCTTCACAAAGCAGGCTCTCTGCACACTGCCGCGTTGGGGGGAAGGGGGGGGGCTGCAACGTCCCTGCACACATACCTGATATTGCATCTTTTTTAAACACTTTGATGGCGGAATGAATCAGACCCAGATCTTTTAAGGTCGGGTCACTTAGGTTACATTATAGTGTCCTGCATCAGGAAAAGTTATAATGCCCGCCGACTCTAAAGAATGCTCGAGAGATCACCGGCTGACCTGAGATCTTAACCTTCACACTTACAGGAGGAGGTTCCTCACGGCTTTTTCACGAATAACTCGCGTAAAATACGACCGACCGACCGACCACGACAAAACTTTCAATATCCTTGAATTGATCAATGTTATATCTTCCCTGAAAATGACCCTGAACCCAATGGCCTTTGACCCGTAAATTCCTTCTCGACACCATGTCAGG